AACAGCATTAGGCTCTTCTCCAGGGAGTCCTTCCTTCTCATTAGGTGGCCAAAGCATTTGAGTTCCATCTTCAGTATCTGGCCTTCTAAAGAGCAGTCAGGGTTGATCTCCTCTAGGACTGAGTGGTTTGATCACCTTGCGGTCCAAGGGACTCGCAGGAGTCTCCTCCAGCACCACAATTCAAAGGCCTCAGTTCTTTGGCGCTCAGCCTTCCTTATGGTCCAGCTTTCACAGCCATACATTGCAACTGGGAAAACCGTAGCCTTGACTATACGCAGTTTTGTTGGCAGGATAAAGCAATAAGCTGGTGTAAATTCTCTAAAAACTTTAAACAAAAACCTGCCCTGCTAAACGCTGAACTCTGTAATGCATGAAATAGTGCATAGTGTGGTTGCTGGATTTCTGTTTTGGTTTTGTTTCCAAAACTGGTGTCTCAGTGTACTCTTTTTATCACATGTGTCAAAGATTACTTATTTGTATTTTGAAATAAAGACAAATAAACATGGCCAGAGCTGTCCCATTTTTCTTCCATGGGCACTTGGTCTGCTCGCCAAACTGCTATTTTCTGAAAGGGATTAGTCTGCACACACAGGCCTAAGCATGGAAACTCCTTCGCAAGAGAATCATTGGGGGCCTGAGGGGTGCTCACATGGGCCTGGGCTGCCCTCACATTTCCAGGCATGTATAACACAGAAGCACAAAGCCCCCAGATCCTATGAAAAGTGCTTTTTTGCGGGGGGGGGGACACTTGCTCAATTCTTCCCAAGCAGTATCCCTAAGATTTTTGAAAGAGGGTACTAGAAAGTCCCAGCTGTCTTCTTGGGATTTCAACTCCACCTGAGTGGAAAGCATAATCAGAAGTGACAAAATGCGAGGGAAAGTCCAGTTAGGATGGGACTTGAGGCTTGTGATTTAAAGAGACAAGCCTTCCTCCTTGTATGGGAACTTTCGCAAGTTCTGAAGCCCTCCAGGGAGGGGGAAGCCTTTCCCAGCTGTGCCGATCCCATGTAATTGAAACACTGCACTTTGTTCAGATATGCTGTCCATGTACTACATTGAATGAAGACTGCTTTTTGCAGTTACACTGCCTTGCAAAGAATCAGATTCCCTTGACAAAACTATCTCCTGCAAAAAGAAACAGGAGCGAGCATTGTACTATTAGCTAGTTTTCCTCGCAAGATTACAAGCTGGAAATCAAGACTGAGGCTAGGCCAAGACCACAAAATGTCATTTGCGGGACACCTTCAGCATGGCGAACGAGGTCTGCTTTGCAGCTTCTCTGCCCAGGGTCGAGCTACCCCTCTTCTTGGTCTTCCTGCTGATATCCCAGGGAACACCATAGTAGCCTTGAAGGCCCCGACTGAGAGCCATTCTGGCTGGCCTTTAAAAAAGGGAGGGCAGCATTGAGATGACAAGAGAGGACGCTCGACCCTCAATCCCAAGTGAGGGATCCATGAGGTGCTCCACCAAGGAGCCCAGCAGTATCTTGGGGAGGGGGGCAGCCTATGGGCCCCTTTAAAAAATGGTAGCAGCCCCTTTATGCACCTATATATCTATTTACTTAGCTATTTATATTTATTTATTTATTATTTATTTATTAAAACATTTTTATGCTGCCCCATTCGCCAAAGCCTCGGGGTGGCTTACAACAATTAGTTAAATAATTATAATTAAAAATATAAACATTAAAATAAAATACATACAATATAAAATAAGCCGCCCTGGCCAGATAAAATTCAATAATATTAACATTTAAAATGCTGTTTAAATAAAAAGGTCTTCGCCTGGCGCCGAAAAACAAATAATGATGGCGCCAGGCGGACCTCTCTGGGGAGCGCGTTCCATAACTTAGGCGCCACCGCTGAGAAAGCCCTCCTCCGGGTACTCACCCTCCTAATTTCTTTCACGGAGGGTTCCCGGAGAAGGGCCTGCACATATGCCCTTCAATTACCCCATCTGAACAGGGGTAAAATGGGGGGGGGGGCTGTCCAAAAGAAGCAGCCCCTGCCTTCTCCACTGTCCAGTACAGGCTACATGTAAGAAAGACCCACACCTTTCCCATTTGCTAGGACTTGTCAGACTTGTTGGAAGGTCTGAAACATTTGTTCTGAAAAGCAACAGTAGCACCTTGGAAAGAGCCAGTTTGCAAGGGCTTGACAAAACGGGGCCAGCAGCAGATTCTTTGCCTCTGGGGAGTCTTCGCCGTGCCAAGGATGGGTAACTCAGCGGCACAAGACCCTCAGAAAGGGGCTTTGGGGGGATACTGCGATCATAGAAACAGAGCGAGTCAGAAGGGGCCTCCCGGGCCATCTAGTCTGACCACCAGCTCCAACCGGCTCGGCTCACGACATGCCCACCATGTGGACGTCCAGCCTATCCTTGAACACCCGCACCGATGGGGCCTCAACGACCTCTCGTGGAAGCGCATTCCACACCCTCGGGGTCCCGACTGTCAGGAAGCGCTTCCTGGCATCCAAATGGAACCTTTGCTCCCTGAGCTTTGCTCCGTTGGAGCGCGTCCTGCCTTCCTCTGCAGGGGAGAACAGGTCTCTCCCCACCTCCGTGCAACACTCCAATCCCCCCCTTCCAAGCAAGATCCCTTGGATTTGAGTTGAGGAATTGCAAGTCCCAAGTGCCCCCTTCATTTTGTCATTGAGCCCAAGGTCCTAGCATCTTGGTGGGCAGCAAAACTTAGGGGGGATGCCAGTGTGGAGGGGGTAGGGAGAGGCGGCTATGCCTCCTGGCATGGGCGCTTCCCTAGTTTTGCAGCTGGGGGGGCACATGTGAGACGAGGCAACTGGGGACACCAAATCTCTCCCCAGAAACCAGGCGAACATGTTGGGCAGCAGGTGGCGGAGCCCCTTCCCGCGTGTGGCTGTAACAGAGAGAGGAGGAAAGCCCTTGACACTTCTGTGGGGCCCTCTTGGGTGGGGTGGGGGCGGGGGGTGTCTTCTGGACCACCATGTGCCTGATGGCCTGTCTGACACATTGCTGCCCCGGGGCCAAGAAGAAGGTTTCAAGCACTGAGGAAGCCCAACTAAAGGGCTGACAGAAATGGCAACTTTTCCAATCCAAGCCCAACTCACCAGCTTAGCAAGTTTGGTGCAAACTACGAAGAATTTTACTTTCCTGTTCTTCCCTCCCTGAACTCAGGCGGTTGCTGATGCCTCCTTTTGCCATCCCACACCCTCCTCTAAACATTTAGTAGAGTAAGATGAGAGTGGTGAAGTCTTGAGGTGGCCAACTGTATTTCAGGTGTCCTGAGAACCTGACAAGTGCTCAAAACTGTCTGTCTGTGCCGGTCAGATTGCAATGTATGGCTGTGAAAGCTGGACCATAAGGAAGGCTGAGCGCCGAAGGATTGAGGCCTCTGCATTGTGGTGCTGGAGGAGACTCCTGCCAGTCCCTTGGACCGCGAGGCGATCAAACCGGTCAGTTCTAGAGGAGATCAACCCTGACTGCTCTCTAGAAGGCCAGATCCTGAAGAGGAAACTCAAATACTTTGGCCACCTAATGAGAAGGAAGGACTCGCTGGAGAAGACCCTGATGCTGGGAACAATTGACGGCAAAAGGAGAAGGGGACGGCAGAGGATGAGGTGGCTGGATGGAGTCACTGAGGTAGTGGGTGTGAGTTTGGGGGGACTCTGGGGGATACTGGAGGACAGGAAGGCCTGTGGGAATGTTGTCCATGGGGTCATGATGGGTCAGACACGACTTCACAACTAAGAACAACAAATGGGTCAGAACCTTTTAAAAAACGTTTGGTTAACTAGCCCTGCTTTGGTGCATTTAACTCAATCTGCGGGTAGGCTTATTCATCTCCATTCCCCAAACAGCCTCACGTTTTGATTTGTGCTGATCAAACTGCTCCTTGAGGATTCCTGGGTCAGGCCGGGAAGCGGCGTTGGGCGAAAAGTGGGCAAGTTTGGCCCAGAGCACAAGCCGTGTTGAAGGAGCAAAGCAAGCCGGAGTGGATCCGCTGCAGTTCTTCCTTTTTGTCCCTGATCCCCACAGCAACAAACCCATTTCGGCCAGGGCAACTTCTTCTTCCTTCTCTTTCTCCTCCTATATTTTTA